AGGAAAGGGGCGGGGCTTCATTTATTTATTTTGGAAGGGGGGGGAAAGCTTTCTCTGGTGCAGACCTTCGCTGCTGTGTTTTTTTTTTTTTTTGCAGATTCCAAAGGATTTGCTAAGTGCAGTTGAGGTTTTCTTTTCTAGCTGCCTCCCGTTGTGACATGCACACATTTAGTGATGGCGTTGTGCTTGCAGGCTCACATAACTTTGACCAGCCATGAGGTGCAAGCCCCACTTCTCTCAGCTTCCCTCCCACAGTCTGCAGTGTCAGAATTATAATACTCCTGTTGGGCTGTTGCGATGGTTACAGATGTGTGTTTTGAGTGTTTATTCTCAGGTTGCTTCAAAGTTGCCAGTTGACTTCTCCCATAAAAAAAATCAGAAATGCATCTGGATAAGCAGTCCCCCACCCCCAAAAAACCATGTGCAAATGTTAAGATATATTTTAGTTTGCTTACACTGTACCCCAGACATGAGTAACTTCAGAATGGAAAAGTTGCTTTATCTAAAAATGACCACATCTGTGTTGAGTGTTATTCTTATGCACCAAAGTAGGGTAGAAGATCCATTGCTCCTGATGAAAAGAAGAAGAATCGTTTACAAAACTAACGTTCAGAAGTCCCAAAGTCGCTTTTTCCAAGAGGCAACGACTTTCTGGTTTTTCTTTGAAGAGGTTTTGCATCTCATCGAAGAAACTTCTTGGATGAGAAGCGAAACATCTTCAAAGAAAAACTAGAAAGTCCACTTTTGGGACAACCATGATCTGGATGACAGAGAATCTCCATAGACATTGAACCTTCAGAAGTGGAGACCGAGCCCAGCCTAGTCTAGAAAAGGGCTTATGTTCTGGAGCAGAAATACTAGCCTGCTCCAGATCCAGGACCATCCAATCTTCTTCCAACCACCATTTAGATTTACAACAAATACTTTGAGTTCCTGCTGCATCAGGTTGAGTCCCACCACCAAAGGTCTAAGAAAAAACAGTGTCAGATTAACCCAGAAGAAATAACAAGTGTTATTTAATCTGAAAAGAGATTAAAAGACTTCTCTTCTGGATGGCTTTAAAAAAAATCAAACTTATCAAGGCCACAAAAGTTAATAACAATATTATGATCCTCACAATTCCACCTTAAAAGAGGGAGATCACAACCTTGAGGTGATGATTGTGATCCTGTCCAGCTGTTCCTTCCATGTGTTTTTGGCCAAAAAAAAAAGAAGACTCCATTAATTACAACATGACTTTGCTTACTCAGGCTCCATCCATGGATAAGTCTGTTCCAAAAGAAACAGAAAGTTCATTGAAAGATTGAAAGATAAATCTGCAAGTCCCTCAGCTATCTTTGGTCAGTAATGAGCAGGATGACGTTCAGTGAACTGAGGTCAGGACAGAGAGAGCAGAGATGGACCCATGGATCTGTGTGCCTGAGAGACACAAGAATGAATGAATTATTTGTAGCCAGGGAAAAATAGATCACAAGCTGGGCGTTTCCCAGAACCAGCCAGGTGCGGTAGATAGCTGAGAGTATGCATTCTTCGGAGATTCACTGGTACAACAGGAAGGGACTGGAGAATAAGGAGAAGATCTGTTGTCTTGCACAGGTGGACTTTGACTTATCACCACAATTGTGCCCCAAATTTCTGTTGTTAAGCAAGGCAGTTGTTAAGTGAGTGGCCCCATTTCCTACCACAATTAGCAATAGTCCTTAGACTTATATAGTGCTTCATAGTGCTTTTACAGCCCTCTCTTAAGTGGTTTTACAGAGTCAGCCTCTTGCTCCCAACAGTCTGGGTCCTCATTTGACCCACCTTGGAAGGACAGAAGGCTAAGTCAACCTGGAGCCAGTGAAGATTGAACTGCTGATGGTGGGTAGAGTCTTATATTGCCACTGAGTCTTCCCAGAGTGGGCGGCATACAAACTAATTAAATAAATAGTTAGCCCGCAATACTGCATTCTAACCACTGGGAGGGACAGAGGGAGAGAAGGAAGGAAGGAATAGCAATAGCACTAAGGCTTATATACCCCTTCACAGAGCTTTACAGAGTCAGCCTCTTGCCCCCAACAATCCTGGGTCCTCAATCTGGGGTGACAACCTGGAACTCCTGTGTTTAACCAGACAGGCTAAAGCCGAATGATTTCACAAACGGTAGGACCTCAAAGCAATTCTCCCCAGCAGCAGGAGCAGAGCAGGAGTGGAGCGGAGTAGGAGCGGAGCATCCCAGACTTAATGAAAGAGAAGATTCTCACTTCTTTAACTGGCTAGAGATTGAACCAGGCCAGGCCAGGAGAAATGGAGGCTCCTTCCATGCTCTCATACATGAGCATTTCAGCAGAGGTATGACGCTGACCCATTTTGCACCGCTCAGGGATGGGATGAAGCAGAATGTTGCCTCTTGGGTTGAACAAAGGAAGATTTGCGGCGTTGACTGTCTGGCCAAAACTAAGGAACAGCCAAGCCAAAGTGGTCAAGTTAAAAATCCTACCAGCCGTTCCATCTCGTAGGTTTAATTACAGGGCAACCTGAAGATGGATAGTGCCCAGGAGGCTACAGGGCAGTTGTGTGACAAGGAAAAACAACAAAAGAAGTGCAGGAAGTGAGGAAAGGCCTGGGTTCAGATTTCCACCCAGCCCTTCTGTCCTTCAGGGGAAGCCAATCTTCAAGGCTCAAAGAGTGCGCAGGGGAAGTTCAAAGAGAAGCTGCCTTGAAGGACCTTTGGGAAAAGGAGAATTGTGTGAGGGGGAAATCTTTTTGTGGCTTATTGGCACATTTCTTATATGGCTTATTTCTTCTACAGAGAGTCCTTGGATTACAACAATTCGTTTGGTGACTATTGAAAGTTACCACAGCAAATTCGGCAACAAAAAGAAGAAACATATTCAATGTTAGAAAATTGAAATTGGATATTATATATCCTCAGGAAGTACATATCAGAAAACAACATAAATAATTTTGGGAACAAGAAAAATTACAATACAATACAATACAATAGCAGAGTTGGAAGGGACCTTGGAAGTCTTCTAGTCCAACCCCCTGCCTAGGCAGGAAACCCTATACCGTTTCAGATAAATGGCTATCCAACATCTTCTTAAAGACTTCCAGTGTTGGGGCATTCACAATTCTGGAGGCAACTTCTGTTCCGCTGATTAATTGTTCTAACTGTCAGGAAATTTCTCCTCAGTTCTAAGTTGCTTCTCTCCTTGATGAGTTTCCACCCATTGCTTCTTGTTCTACCCTCAGGTGCCTTGGAGAATAGTTTGACTCCCTCTTCTTTGTGGCAACCCCTGAGACATTGGAACACTGCTATCATGTCTCCCCTAGTCCTTCTTTTCATTAAACAAGACATACCCAGTGCCTACAACCGTTCTTCATATGTTTTGGCCTCCAGTCCCCAAATCCTCTTTGTTGCTCTTCTCTACACTCTTTCTAGAGTCTCCACATCTTTTCTACATCGTGGCGACCAAAACTGAATGCAGTAATTAGGTAATTTATATACAACATTGGCAGATAAAGCAAAAAGGGAATAGCATTATATATTAGAAAGACAATACAATCAAATCAAATTTTTGAAGATGGGGAGGGGAGAATATTGATGGTGGAGGTAACAGTGAACTTCAGAACGACATTATTAGTGGCAATATATGTTCCAAATGAGGAACAAGAAAGTTACTACAGCACTGAAAAAGTGACTTACGGCCATTTTCAACATCCCCATGGTCATATGATCCAAACTTGGGTGCTTGGCAGAGGGTTCATATTTATGACATTGGCCATGTCCCAGGGTCAGTGAGATCAACTTTTGTGACAAGCAAAGTCAATGGGGAAACCAGATAGGCTTAACAACCGTGTTGCTAATTCAACAACTGCAGTGATTCACTTAAGTGGCAAGCAAGATCGTAAAATGGAGACAATTCACGTAACAACTAACTCACCTAGCGATGGAAATTATTATGGGCTCAACTTGAGGACTATCTGTAGTGCAAGAATGGGACAATTGGGATATGCTTTTGAGAATAGTTGTTGCGAACGGAAAAGAGGGAGGATGAGGAGGGAGGAAGAAAGGGTAAAGCAGAGAAAGCAAGGGTGTGGAATCTAGAGTAGGAGAGAGTGTAAGAAGGAGGAGGATAGGGGAAAGAAAGGGGAAGAAGAAGGGGAGGAAGAACGAAGAAGGCAGAAAAGGGAGGTTGAGAAGATAGAAGGAGCAAGGTTGTTGCAAAATAAGATGGAGGCACGGGGTAGCAAGAAAGTGACCCAAACTGAATTATATATGTGTGTAAAAATAAATATAGAGACTAATAATGAATATACAAATGTTAAATAGCAACTATAAAAATGTGAATGAACTTGAATGGGGAAAAAAAACTATTAAAAAAAGAGAATAGTTGTTGCCAGGTGTTGGTGAATGCTGATGTGTCACCCAAACTCTGGCGTGTCACTTTTGACCTGTGCGTCTTAGGTTTGCAATCACGATTATAGTAAATTAACGTGGAGAGTGTGCATCCATTATTCACAAGCGCACATCAGCAGGGTTATTCACACTATGTGCACCAATTCTGTAAATCTTAGGAGAAATGGGACAACAGCGCTTCAGCTTCAGGATGCAGTAAAACACCACTAAGAGAACATGTTTGCAAAACTAGATATATTCCTGAAATCAGAATTTACGTTTAACAATTAACACTGAAAAAAATCATTATGAATTAAATAAATTGATAACAGAAAGGTATAACCCTAACCCTAGCTTCAACTGAAGACTGAAGGGACATATCATTGTAGTCTACAAATATCTTGAGGGCTGAAATATGGACCTTGCTGTTATTAATTTCTAAAATAGGACAAGCTTCAACAGGTTGAAAATAAAGAAAATTTGGGCTGCATATGAGGAGGAATATTTGAATGAAATGAGTAGTTGATTAAGTGGAACAATCTGCCTGGTTTTGCCCTGGAGCAGGGGCTCTCCAAACTTAGCAACTTTAAGACTTGTGGCCTTCAACTCCCAGAATTTCCCAGCCAGCATGTCTTAAAGTTGCCACGTTTGGAGATCTGTTGGGCAAACTTTATTAGATTCCTACACCAATTGGACTGGAATCGATGTCCAGTTCTTAACATTCTCTGATTTTTTATGATGTGTGAATAAAATTTAACATTAAAAAAAAGATTTAAAAAAGCTTATAAGGCAAGCTCAAACAATATGCAGGAATAGAATAAAACAGAGTTGGGTCATCAAATGGTGTGAAAATCTGCCCTTTCTTTCAGCACTGTATGAATTGGGCCATCCCCTGAAGCCATAACCAAGTTTCTCCCTGTAAATAAGAATTGCAGATTTTTTAAACCAGGCTTTGGGTTAAGCCTTGATGTGTGAACCAATCCCTTTTTCTATCTTTCCCCATTGGTCATAAATATAGACCAACATCCTGTCAATTATCTAGTGGAGACGCTGATTCTCAGACCATGGTGAGTTCTGTTAATATTTCAAAGGAAGAGGGAAACAGTGTGAAGTATAAAATATATTTGGATACAAAGCTTCCCACGCCTTAAATTGTTCTTTCCAAAGTTGCTTCAAACTGAAACCACTTTCTCTGCTTCTCTTTCCAGATGAGAAACCCTTTGTGGTGGAGGACACCTACTTACTCTGCCCGGCACCTGTCTTACAAGAAGCTGGCATGTAGGTTTATGAAAAGGTTGTGTTTGCTGTAACTTTTGCCATTGAATTTTCTTTTGCTTCTACACTTTCTGATCTGCCCAGGAGAATTTTAGTCATTTGGGGGAAGGAAGCGACTGTTCTGAATAGCCTGCTATCCAAAGTGAAACACCCCCCCCCCACGCCCCCAGGATAGCCAAGAAGCAAAATAGAGGGTAGAAAATGGTGATGGAACCTCTTGCCCATTGTGATGGAAAATGGTGGAAGAGGGTAGAAAATGGTGATGGAACCTCTTCCCCATTGTGGAAATGGGGCAGGGTTTTGATTGCAGCAATATGGCCACCTTCTAAAATCTAGAAGGTTGCCATGGAGGTGCCTATTCCATTGCTATTCTGGTCATTCAGCAAATCAAGTAGACTTCTTGGTTGCTCTGTAGATGTGAGGGTAGACTTCCATTCTTCACAGCTAAAGCCCAAGTCATCTGAGGATCATCTAGATCAGAGGTCTTCAAACTTGGCAACTTTAAGACTTGTGGATGTCAACTCCCAGAATTCCCCAGCCAGCATAATTTACTCTTTTGTAATCCCTTCCTCTGCAATCTCTCCAGAGTTGAAGTCCATAAATCTTAAAGTTGCCACGTTTGGGGACCCCTGACCAGTGGTGGGTTTCAAAAAATTTTGGAACCTCTCCTGTAGGTGTGGCCTGCTTTCCGCATCCACTGGTGGAACCTCTTCTAACCGGTTCGGTAGATTTGACGAACCAGTTCTACCGAATAAGTGCAAACTGGTAGGAACCCATCTCTGCCCCTGACCTAGCTGAAGTCCCAAAGGTCTTTTTTCAGGAGGCAACTGCACTTTCTTATTTTTTATTTGAAGATATTTCGCTTCTCATCCAAGAAGCTTCTTCAACTCTGACAGAATAGTGGGGAATGGAAGGATTTAGATTCCTTGCAGACAGCTGGTGGTTTGCATCCTTTTAGAGGGTCCTTAAAGCACTTGGAGGTTGGGTCATCAGGGTCACCTGAGTGGTGCAAATGGTTCCTGTAGTCTGCAATATTTCCTCTGGAAATCCATTCCTACTCCCACACCATTCCAAGGGTCTTCATCCCAAATTGGATAGCTAGAAGCCTGTAGAGATTCTCAGTCATCCAGGCCATGGTTGTCCCTGAGGACACAGATAAACCTCCAAGTGCTTCAAGGACCCTCTAAAAGGATGCAAATGACCAGCAAGGAGTATAAATCCTTCCGTCCCCCACCATCCAGTCAGAGCTGAAGAAGCTTCTCAGATAAGAAGCAAAATGTCTTCAAAAGAAAAAAAAAACAAGAAAGTCCAGTTGCCTCCTGAAAAAGCACCTTTGGGAAAACCAGGGCCTGGAGGACGGGAGAATCTCTACCGACTTCCACCTGGTTGAAGATATCCGAGCTCCACAATGCAAAGAAAGTGTTGTGTTTTCAAGAGAAAGTGGATTGTGAATCTTTCACCCCAACAAGTCATTTCTCCTCTCCTTCCTTGTTTTAGGGAAGCTGCTCTCCAAGTGAGCATGAACGATGGTCTCAGCTTCATCTCCAGCTCCGTTATCATCTCCAGCACACACTGCGTAAGTTTGCTCGGAAATCTACCCTTTTTGCTTAAGCGCCCACTAGAAGAAAAAAAATCCCCCGTGAATTTGAAGTGGAGGATCATGGAGAGGCCGTCCATGCTAGGATTTCAAGTCTGGCTGCCCTTGAAAAGCATCTGATGAATGATTCTTTTAAAAGAAGCTATTTCTCCTTTGCTAGTTCAGTGCTTTATAAGAGGCAGGTTCTTCCTCTTTTGAACTGGGAGCTTCCGTTAGGTCCCCTGCAGGGGTGCCAGGATTTCTGCAACCATGAGAGTCAAAGAGAGGCACTGAGAACATCTTGAACCCAGGCAGGCAAAGAAAGAGAATGCTAATGCCTTCTATTGCAGATTAACAGAGTTGGAAGGGACCTTGTAGGTCATCTAGTCCAACCCCCTGCCCAAGCAGGAGACCAAACACCATTTCTGACAGATGGCACTCCAGTCTCTTCTTGAAAGCCTCTTTAGTACAGGGATCTCCAAACTTGGCCACTTTAAGACTTGTGGACTTCAACTCCCAGAATTCCTCAACTAGCAAGTTGAAATCCACAAGTCTTAAATTGGCCAAGTTTGGAGATGCCTGCTTTAGTAGATAGAGATACAGATTAACAGAGTTGGAAGGGACCTTGTAGGTCATCTAGTCCAACCCCCCTGCCCAAGTAGGAGACCCGACAACATTTCTGACAGATGGCAGTCCAGTCTCTTCTTGAAAACGTCCAGGGATGAAGCTCCCACAGTTTTCTGAAGTTTATCTTCAAAATTTACCTTCAAACACTATTGCATTTTTCTCCTGTGGGTTGTGGAGTAGTACCTGTGTCACTAAACGGAAGCAGTGGCTCAGTGGCTGAGCTTGCCGATCAGAAAGGTTGGCAGTTCAGCGGTTTGGATCCCTAGCGACGTGTAATGGAGTGACCTCCTGTTACTTGTCCCAACTTCTGCCAACCTAGCAGTTCGAAAGCCTGTAAAATAATGCAAAGAGAAAAATAGGAACCACCTTTGGTGGGAAGGTCACAGCGTTCCGTGTGCCTTTGGTGTTGAGTCCTGCCAGCCACATGACCATGGAGATGTCTTCGGACAGCAGTGGCTCTTCGGCTTTAAAACAGAGAAGAGCACTGCCCCCTAGAGCTGGGAACGACTAGCACATATGTCCAAGGGGAACCTTCACCTTTACTGCGTCACTAGTAATGTATTTTTATTTAATTATAATGCAGGCAGTCCTTGACTTATAACCAGTTCCTTTAATGACCGTTCAAAGTTACGACAGCACTGGAAAAAAATCATTTATGACCATTTTTCACACTTGCAATCATTCCCCATGAGATCAAAACTCAGATGCTTTGCAAATGACTCACAGGTCACTTTTACGACCTTCTAACAAGCAAATTCAATGCGGAAGCCAAATCCACTTAACAACTGCGATGATTCACTTAACGATAGTGGCAAGAAAGGTTGTAAAATGGCGCAAAACTCACTTAACAACCACCTCACTTAGCAACAGGAATCTTGGGCTCAATCGTGGTTGTAAGTTGAGGACTATCTGTATGTATGTATTACTTGAAGACCTGCGTAGAATTCATTTGCAGGGTTTATGTATTTATACGACACCTTGGCAGAAATCTTTATTCGTTTGTGAAGTGCTTTACAGAAGGAGGGATTGGGAGCCAAATTAATTTAGCTTGCATTTATATATATATATTTCAAGCCAGATCACAGAGATCTTTTCATACTTTTGGTCCTTTTGAGATTTTGCAATTCAAGAAAGCAAATTAGGGAAAGTCTGAATAAAAGATGAGTTCATGGGTTGCAAACAAACTAATCGACCAAATGTGTTGTATGAGAGAATAGCTGAAAAATTAAATAGTTGAAAAATTGTCAAAAAAACACGCATGTGTGTTAGAGATTCTTAGAAAAAGGATCGGTGGAGCCAAAGTCTTATGCTCCCAGTGACAAAAAACAGATGCAGAGTTTGAATCACAGCATTTTCCACTTGACATAGCAATTGTTGCTACGATCCTCTGAAGTTTGATCTGCTGTAGGATCTCACTTGCCTCGGACACTGAATTCTTGCGATTATTAAGCGAAATGAGCTGATCATAACCACGTTTCTTAAACTACTTCACTATTCCTTAGAAAAGTGAAATTACAAGCCTCACAAATGAGCCAGCTGGGGCTATAATTCATCAGAAGAACTCGGGGGTTGTATAACAAGGCCGACATTTCCCAAAATTGGATTCCTTTTTTAAAATTTTTTATAAAAGGAATGTTTGAGCCTCTCAGTTTTTCTTTGATGTCTGCAGGTGGCTGTGGGGTAGGCAAGCAGCGACATGAGTACTTTGAAGTTATTGAATGTCTACTACAATAATGACTTATCAGTTGTGTTGGACGACTAATGCAAAGAACAAAATTATGTTCTGTGCTCAGTGACATCAGGAGGAGTATGTTGCTACTTTGATGTCATTGTGGTTTTTAAGGGGCGTCAATGTCAGTGCTGTGGGAAGCACCCAGTCTGACCGGCATGTCTGAGGTCGGAGGTGTGCGTAGGTGTGTGATTATGTTCATTTGTCAGGTTGTCCGGCAGTTGCTCCAATAAGCAAAAGTTTTTTTTTCCAAGTACAATGTTCTCAGACTCTTCTTTAGCAAGATTTGTTGAGATAAAAGGGAAATGGAATTCCAGTGCCCAAAATATCCACCATTTAATTCCCCGTGTACATTATAATGAAAATGTTTTGAGGCTTTTTCTGCCTTCCTGTATCCTGGTAAAGAGGAAACCAAAGTGATCCTGGGGAGGCTTTAATTCAGTGATAGCGAACCTTTGGGGCACTGAGCGCACAAACTGGAACCACCGGAAACCCAAACCTCAGCTGGCCATCACACGCATTCCTGTTTTTGGCCATTTTCAGGCTGTTTTCTGGGGCTGTTTTCAGGCTGTTTTTGGCCCAGAAAATGGCCCAGAAATGACCTGTTTTTTAGCTGTTCTCCAAGCAGGCCGTTTTCTGGCGCCCACAAAAACCAGCTGGCCAGTGGGCATGTGGATGCTGGAAATCAGAAGAGCAGCTGGCAACAGTGCATGTGCCCACAGAAAGAGCTTTGTGTGCCACCTGTGGCACGCATGCCATAGGTTCGCCATCACAGCTCTAGTTGGTTGTTATATGACATAACCATCTCCATCTTTATCAACCTGGGAATCAGGTCTTGCATCTTGCAGAGTCCAGCCGTGGGAACCCTTGTAAAAAGGATGCAGACAAATTGGAATAGATGCAAAGGAGACAACAAGGAGAACCAGGGGACCAAGACTTGCACGTATAAGGAGAGATTGAGGAAACCGGCTGTGTGTAACTTTGATGGGAGAAGTCTTGGAAGAAAGATGGCAGCACAGTTTCAATAACAGAAAAGTAAAGCTATGGGGCAAGACCTTCTCCGTCATTCCAGAGTGAAGGACACACGGCAGCAGATTCTGACTCAGAAAAGGTCCTGAATGTCAGAGCAAAGAGGCAGCGGGAAACCTCTTTGTCAAAAGTGTTCAAGGAGAGGCTGGACCATAATCTCTTGGGGCGCTTTTCTTTGCACTCCTGTATCAAGCAAGAGGGAGAAATTCCATGGCTTTGAGGGCCCCTCTCAACTCTACGATTCCATATTAGGACTGAGCCCAAAAGGAGACCATGAGTTTATCCCTTAGGCCAATGATGGCGAACTTTTCTGTCCTTGTGTGCCAAAATTCTGTGTGTGCGCACGATAGCACATGTGTGCACGTCCCACACCTACAATGCAATGCACCCCACTCACTTGTGCATGCACGCACCACACCCCTCCCCTCAGCATGCATGTGCGATCCACACATACACCCATGCTGGGGGAGGAGTTTTCCCCCTCCCCGGGCTCTGGAACCTTTCTCCAAGCCTCCGGGAGGGCAGTACCAGCCTCTGCTGGCCCCGGAGGCCCTCCGGAAGCCAGAAACAGCCCATTTTCGAACTTCCGGTAGCCCTTTCCCCCCCCCCCCAGGCTCTGAAAGCTTTCCTGGAGCCTGGGGAGGGTGGAAATGGCCTCCCCCAGCCTTCCAGAGAGGCCCAAAATTAGCTGGCTGGCACGCGCATGTGCACTGGAGTTTTGCATAACACAACAACTTACATGCCTGCAGAGATGGCTCCATGCGCCACCTGTGGCACACGTGCCATAGATTTACCATCATGGTCTTAGGCGCTGCCAGCTCTACCGGTAGGCAGCCCTCCCATCACTTTCCCAATCCATCACCTGGGTTGACCGTGCATTGAACCTCAGGTGGGAAGTTCTCCAGAGTAGCCATGTACCCCCAAATAGCTACACCCAAAGTTTCTGGCATCAAAGGACGTTGAGACATCCTGGAAATGTCCTCTATATAACCCACAGCCATGAACTCCACCCAGACACTCCCTCGCACTGATGTTGTTGCTTAGCTGGCTCGGGAAATGTCTGCAAGCTGACGATTAAGCTCAGAGAGTGCCAAGAACTCCATAACCCATGGGGATGGCCACCTGTAGTGCATTGTTTGGCCGTTACCAAGACGGAAAGCAGATCCTGCCTTGGTCAGTCTCTGCATACCCATCTCAGGGGAAGCTGAAGAGGTAGCTTCCAAGGTACATTCTCAATGAACATCGAAAACGCTGCTCAGCCAGGAGTCAAACTGAGCAGGGGAAAATATTTGCTCATGTTCCGAGCACTACAACAAGGCCTAGCTTGGCACAGAAAACTCCAGGGCCCTTTTGCAAACAAGGCCCTTGCCCCCCTGTGTTTCTCGGATAAAAATAAAAGGATGTTTTGTCTGGCATCACAAGAAAAAGAACGAATGAGATGTATATCTCCACTGCAGCAGCCAAGAGCAGATTTATTTTGTAGCTTAAACTCTTGTATAAGATCCCACATTATTTTGGAAAAGTTCTATTTCTACAAAGTGTTCAGACTTCATTTCTTTTGGCTGGCTCAAATTTGGTGCACAATGAATTTCATTTCAGATTTAATTATTCCCCC